CGGTTCGTCTTATTCGCGTTATATAGTCATTATATTTTCGTTGACTAGTTAAATTAAGAGTTATCGATACAAATTTACTCGACTAATTACTGCAGTTCAGCTTTAGATATAATATAATTAACTAAATAATAATAAGTTAAAAATTTAATAAAACACTATAGACCAACACGAACGAAATTGAAAATATTAATAAACTAACGAAAACTGAAATGCACCTACACATTTACGTCCGAGTGCGTGATGTAAGTATAAAATAATGTTATTAATAAAATATTATGTGAAAGCAATTTCGCAGCGACGACAAATTCAATTCACTATCCGTCCGGTCGGAAACGCGCACTACACGAGCCGTCATAATATATCTCCGGGCTACTCGAAAGTACGAATTAGAGAGAAAATCGGTCACATTTCATTCGTGTGTGTTGCGTGTGCCAACCCAAAAGTCGCGACGAAAGTGAGGGGATGACATTATTATAACATATGAAACACGCAGCGTTTTAAACATTTCGGCGTGCGATGTAAAACCCTTCTGCTAAACCTCTGAACATTCATTTTTTTTCTCACTTTAACCATGAAACGAGCGTCTAGAAAACTTTTTCGTTGTTTATATAACAATATTATTTACAAACACGCGTTTATTTTTTTAAATCTTATCCGTCGATTAATAATAATTACTGGAAGAAAAACGTGTAACGATCTTTGAAGTACGACTACTCTGACTGCAGCAAAACATTTAGATACCTATAGTTCTTTGAAAATGCCGAATTGAAACGATAATACATATAGTTCTTTCAAAACCATAAATATTAAAGATTTTATCAGAAGTGCGTGCAGTCGTGCATGCGGAAAAGGAATGGGGTTTGTGAACTGACAATAACAGGAAAAATCCATGGGGTAGACCTAAAGATTACTCTGGGTAAAGGCGGATGAATGACTAGGAGGAACCTTGAAAAACGTGCACGAGGAACTAGGATAGAAGAGAGTCGTGACTGGTAACAGAAAAAGATGGCGTAAATAACGAAAGAATAAAACCCTCTAAATCTATCTTATTGGGCTATTTGGTTTATGCTGCTGCTGCATAGCTGAGAAATCGATGAGGATAGCTCAGTCACCCCCAAAGTTTATCAATCAAAATTGATTTGAAGTTGCCCCATCTACACTGCGAATAAGTGATCTATAATATCTACTCTGTGTAAATTGGTCATAAAAGCTACAGAAGTAGGAGAAAAGCTTAGTTAAAAGTTAAAATTGGACTTTGGACTTTAAAAATGTGTTTTATGAACGATGACTTTAAATAATGGACGGGGCAGCGAGAGCTCTAAATTAATTACTGAATAGCTCAAAAAGAAGAAGAAGTAAACCTATAAGAACTTTTTGGAAATTATATGTTTTTCTGAATTTTAAATAAAATATAGTTTTTTGAAAATGTAGGTATTTTTTACCTATACTTTGCACAAAGTATTGCTTTAATGAAATGTAAGTACATATATACGGCTCGGATGCCGTACGCATATACGAGTTAATATGGGAAAAAAACCACAAACATTGTAATAATGTATTTTATACAGAAGAATAATGCAGCGCGTATTCTTGTAAAGCATTAGGGGGGTTTTTTTTTTTGTACCGTTAACATATTGTAATAAGTTTATTGTTTTTGAATTTGTTAGAAGCGTATTGTTGCGGTGATGAGTTTCGCGTTAATACGTGGCAACATTTTTTTTTTCTCGAGTATAATAATAATAATAATAATGTAATTTTTAGAACAAAATAAGGTAGACGGGAGGGCCGGAGAATGCCGCGGTAAATCCGTTTGATATAATTTATATTTGAATAGCGATCGCAGTGGGCTCTAAACATTGGGTTGTATACGCGTATTCATTATGTACATATAGTCAGCATTAAGTGTTTATGGTCAATAGAAGCTCAAGTAGGATTTAATACGGAATAAAAAAATAGAAAAAAAAAAAAAAAGAATATGGATGGGTTAGTTTTGACGGGTGTATAAAATATAGCGGCTCTACTGTTATACATAAAGAAACGCCGCAATAAATTATGCGCTGTTTAATGATATGGTGGCGTTCGGAACGAATACTTTGCGAAAATTAACGAAAACCGAATAATATACGACTTACGAATGTTATAATATATATTTACATAGTACCCTATACAGGCGGTAGTTAAAAAAAAAAAAAAAAACAATTTTATTATATTGCTGTCAACCGTTGTTTCAATATTTTATTAATAATAATAAAGTAGCATTGTAAATTATATTATGATATCGTGTATTATACTTGCAGAGTAGTTTTATATTATCGGTACTCAAAAGAATAACATTAATACTTTGGATTTACCGTCCTGCTTGATCTGCACCAGATCCACCATTCTGCCAGACATCTTGTTCTAATTAAAGCCGATAGCGGTTTTAAATTTTGTCTGATTTGGTTTTTCCACGAGAAATTTCGCTCCTTCGTCGATTTTTCTGAAATATATTTTTGTCTATTCGGCGCACCGGGCGACCGTTTTTTGATTTTATTTTAAAGGGTTATAAATAATTTGTGAAAAACCGGGAAAGTTTACGGCAATAACGGTCTCGTTAGAAAAATGGAAAAGCGATAAAACTGAGCTCCACTCAGAATGACAGAATCGTTTTTTTCTTTCGCAATAATACTTTATCGTTGCTTTCGGTACGAACCAATAAATTACTTACCTATTGTAATTACGTATATACTTTATCGACTTCCCGCCTACAATATAGTGGGAAGTGTTTTCGGGTTTTTCCCCCGTTTATCATATAGATTCGCCCTGGGCTATATGAAAAAAAAAAAAAAAACAAATATTTATATTACTTATAAATGAAATAAATTCGAGTTATGTTTTAATCAAGTTGAACGTTCTAATACATTCGAGAGTATTTTATTGATACGCACGGAGGCGATGACGGGATTATTGTTTGACGGTGTTTATGGTGGTATATTAAAACAACACTAAGTAGGTATATTACCCACGTGTGTCGTAATATTTAAGATTTTTTTTTTTTTTGTTTATCGTATTGTATCAAGAATATAATATGTGGGCGGACCAGCAACTCGCTGTCTTGGCATGTATTATAATATAGAAGCTCCGTGTCACTTTCGGAAACACACGATAAACGTGCGACAAACCCGACAATAAACATTTTGATTAGGTTGTATTACCTTTTTTGTTTCTGGGCCATTCTGAGGCTGTTTTTCGTACAGATTTTGTTTCGTCGCCTCTCCCCCGCTTTCAAATTGTATTAGCTCATTATGACTCCTATACGAACACAATACTATCTTAATAAATGTGTCATTGATCCTAAATAAGTGCAAGCTTTATTTCCTCGGTCTGAATGACATAAGTATATGTATGTAACACATGTTGTATTGAAAATTAAAATACAATAGAAGCCGTTTATTAGGAACACATTTTTGGACCAATGTAAAATATGCCAATCAACCGATTGTTTCAAATAAGCGATTGGTTTTATTTATTATGAAAAAAATCAAAAATAAACAAATAATTTAAAAAAAAATGTCTCTACTATGAAAAAAAAAAAAAAAATGATTTGATATGTTATGGAAAATATTAGAACACTATATGAAATAATGATACGACTTACAAAATTTAGAACGCCGCGTATTTAGAACAAACCGTTCAGAAATTTAGTTATTTAACATTTTGTTATGTCATTGTTTTTCAAAGTTTAATTTGCTTGTATTGAATACTACTACAATATTGACTTTAGCCATTCTTCCCCGGAACTAAAGATTTATGGGTCCGAAAATATAAAAAAAAAATCATTTGTGCCATAATAAATATAAAAACAAATAAACTGCAATAATAAAATAATCAAATACTAACAAAATAATAAAAACGGCTCTTTATGCATCATTTTATTATAATTATGAATTCCGTGGCAAATAATAAATATTAATGTTATGGTTCGTCGTGTGCCGTTTTGAATTGTATTATAAAAACAATTGACAGGGGAGAAAAACAATTAGTATGTCGACTGCTGCAGACAGGCCCCGGCATCAGCGAATAAAAGAATATTTTTCGACGTCCCGCTGCTCAGCAGCCGTACGGTTGAAAAATCGAGGTGCGGAAAAAAACGAGTGTGTCAGCAATTTTCCCAAAGTGACAAAAAGACAAGCGTCTTTCTGCTGCTATTCGCCAATATTACGATTTTTTAGAGACAAAAATATTGATATGTAGATTAATTTTTACGTGAAAATGTATTGAAAGCAGACCCATCGTGCGAAGTATGTCCGTATGTTTTTTTTTTTAACTTATTAACTTATTAACTGTACACGATTTGTTTTTTTAAACAATACAAATTCAACTTTTTGAATAAATTTCATAAAAGTTCACGTAAAATTACTTTGTTTTGAGTTTTAGATTTTATTACTTGGAGTGTTAACTAGTCTTTTGAATCGAAGGGCTATTTTAGATTCTTAATGGATCCAGGAAAGTATTAGAGGTTTGACTATGAATTTGTGTTTTTTTTTTTTTTTAATTGTTTCTTCCTTTCTGTAAAAACTTCTTTACCAGAAATCTTGTTCCAGTTATTAACCAGGTTCCTGGTAACGAATTTCGTCCAGTTAATGTATTGCATTGGCAACGTCATTTTTAAATTTTTCTTGTAATTTTCTTAATAATTTGGAAAAATCAAAAAAAAAAAACAACGGAAAACCAGGAAATTGTACGCAACATATCAGTTATGTTATTTTCGATTTAATTGATTTGGTGTAATGCAGTTAGAAATATAATCGTAGACTTGAAATATTTCACTGAATATTTATTTCGTTTATTTGTAAGCGGTTTGTACCAATTTTAAATGTATTGTTTTTTTTTTATAGCTAGTTTATCGTTTTATGTTTGGAACATGTAGTTTTTTGTACGAACCTTTTTAAGTAGTAAATTTGACGAAAATTGTGGCGTTTTGAAACATGTTTAACCGAACTTCGTTTTCCGTTAGCAATAATTTATCGTTGTATACATATAATATAAGTTATATTATTCAGTGATCAATAATATTATATCCTATACTTTTCCAACTTTTGTTTATTTGATCGAATCAAGTGAAATATTTTCGCATCGAATTGCTCCGAGATTAAAAACGAGCATACACGAGTATTATTCATAATATATTCGAGCACACCGGTCGTAATTTACTATTTGTTCGATGGCCAGTAGAGATATCTCATTCAAAGTGCACATTCGTATTTCGCGCCGATCCCACGCGATTATTATTCCTGGTCAGTCGTGTACGTGTAGTGTGTACCTATACAAATGAAAAAAAAAATCTACTACAGCGAATAAGTGCGTTTTATACAGGGTGATTCACATTGATCGTGATAGCCAGCGAATCCATTGGTGGCGTGACTGGGTAACTGCGAGATAACTGCTTCATGGACAAATCAGGTTGGTGTATAGTGTATGTTTAATTTCAGATATGTTAATGAAAAAAAGTAAAATTCAGGAACGTCTAGTAGCCTTCAAGTGCCGGCTCCTGGTTCTTAGGTTGTAAACGAGATCGTTTTCAATTTTACTGATGCCGTTTTATAGAAATAAAAAAAAAAAAAAACACGCATCTCCACTTTCAGCGATTATAATATATCTATGCGCAAATTTCGAGTTGATACGAATCGTTATTAAACTAAGAATATTTCGAGCAAAACAAAACCGAAAGTTCATTTTTTCGAAATTTCCATTTACTAAACCCTACAGTCACCACCCTGTATACGCGGCACGTTTTCGGAGTATCGTGCTGCAAGTATGCGATAATATTATAATCGTATTCATACGACGGCGGCAATGGTATTCATTATGCGCTTACTTAATGTTATTATTATTTTTTCTTTTACATTGTGTGGCATTATAAAATAATATTATTCATATTATAATATATTATGCATCTGTGTGTGTGTGTGTGTGTGCGTCGTAGATAGGAACAATATTATTAGGTTGGGATGTATTTTAGTTTCTTCCATTCGGCAATAATGATGTGTGTTGTTTTGATAATCAGTTGGCTGTTTATAAAAATAAAAAAAAAACAATGGTTTTTTGAATATTCAAAAATATTGAAAACGCATAAAAACGGAACGTTCTTTCCGATTATAGTGATTCGGTAGTACCTGTTGTCATTGTACAATATACCTATTTGTAGTTTTTTTTAGTTAAAACGTGTTTTTTGAACATTAAGTTCGTTAATTACGTTACTTGTTTTTAGGTATTGATAATAGTTCAGATTATTTATTACATATTGGTTTAATTAGATTATGTTTTTTGTCGGTCAAGATAACTTCGACCAAAAAAGACTATGGCGATAAAACAGAACAATTGCGAACTGTGTTTACTGTATTTTGTGTTGTATAAAGATACATATAATACGAAAAAAATGGCTAGAATGATCATCGAGATAATAATAAAAGATATATAATTAATTAATTATCTAGATAATTAATCAAAAGGAAAAGATCATTTTGTTCATTATACCTATTATAAAACAAATTACTAAAAGTGGTAAAAGTTTACCAATATCCTAGATTTCGCATAAAGACTGAGTGATTTATGTAACTAGTTTATTGTTTTAACCATATTAATATAAATAAAAATAAATTTCACCTGTTTTTTCTAATAAACATAAAATATAATAAACGTATAAATTACTATATAAAAAGATTTATATAGACGGTTCATATCATTCAGCGTTGAACCATGACCAAGCTAACTTCTTTCTCATCTAACGATAACTATGTCAGCCTTATCTATAGACATGTAGAGTATAAATATGGTTAACTATATTATTGATCTGTCATATACAGTGGGCTATCTAGTAGTTTTAAAAATCCGTGGAAAAAAAAAATGAAAATTTTCCACTGCAGTAATTTGAAATTTGAAAAATATACGAAGAACACATAATAATGCTGTTTACAATGATATTTTTCCCGTATAATATTGTAGAAAACGTACAATTGATTATATTTCAATCAACTAACTCGAAAAAATACAGGTATCAATATAAAGTTACCAGTTACCTGGTACCTGGCTGATAGCTCTGTCCATCGACTTGACGTTTTATTTATAAGTACATGCGCATTTCATAACACGTTAATTAAACTTTGCATTCATCTTTGAGATTATTCAAAGGTTATAACATCCTGATTTCCCAAGGGGCGTCCGTTTGAACAGCACGCAATGTGACTATCCACATAAGCGGTATACGTTCTTTCTGGCGAAATAATAATATAAGCCACGACGACGATCAAAAACTCATAAAATTGAGTATATCACGCGATTTTCGGTTACATAAACAAATTGTATGTATGCGCTTTATATTAGATTAAAAACGTTAAGTCGAATCGTCTCTACGGTCCTCGTATAATATTATTGCTCACGGGTAAAGAACGGTTTAATGTGCCACATTGAAAAAATAAGATAAATATAATAATTTTATTTATATCACTACGCGACGATAAATCATTGCTAATAAAAAACGTTTATGAGCGAAGTTCGGTTATTTGAAAATCTAAAACTGAAAATTGGATTAATTTGTATTAATAAAAATAAATTACAATTGTCCGTGGTTTTTTTGTCTAAAATTTTTGGTGATAATTTTTATTGAGCCGAAAAAATCGTATTCACATTGAACTCGACACTTTCTAGTGCAGGATATACATATGTATATCATATGTATACATATATATATATGTAGGTAAATAACTTAAAAAATAGTTAGAATATTTAAAAATATTGCACCGCGTGTGGAAAACGCTTACATTTCGGGTTTCTTACGATTAATCGGCAACCCAACAAAAATCAAAAGTAACAAAAACCGTTATGGTGTATAAATATTTAATATTGTTGATTCCCAAAATGGTTTTCCCCGATTCTTAAAAAAAAACTACTGCGTCAAATGATCTCGTCGTTGCACCAACTAGGCAAAATTTGATACCAGAACAAGTGAATCTGTCGATCGGAGTAAAATGTCTGGTAAAAAAAATTCGTATACAGACGCTCACGCACAAAAATAAATAAAAGCACTAACCACTGCGTTTGTAAAATGAATGCGTAGTTCCTCGCTACGCGCAGAGCCTAAAAATGATTTATACCTAATTTATTTCCTCGCGCAAATACGAAAACGGAAAACCGTAATATTTTTTTAAAGCGCGTCGTCGCCGTGAATTCATAAATAGGTAGTTGGTCTGCGGACATTATTATTATCGTGACTCACGGCTGGAATCTGGTTTTTTTTTTTTTATTATTATTATTTTTATTATTGGTTTTACCTTTTACCTCTCACTCACACGGGAGATTTGCCGCAGTCTTAATCAGTATAATAACGTCGCCGTCGTTTTAATCTCATTTTTTTTATTACCACGACTATATTTGGGTCGCACTAAACTATCATCGTTTATAACGGAAATACTGTCTACAAAACTATAAGTTATAGTAAAGTGTTTTGTACACCACCCGGTGCAAAGCGCAATAAACGCGTGTTAATAATAACGGTCGGGGCCACTTCGGACCGATAAAAATTCGACTGCCTACTATAGTGTTCCGCAGAAATGGGAGAAAGTTTGGGGTATGTGTAAACACGTCGTTTTATTGGGCTATCGTTTGAAATGATTTTTGTTTCGTAAATATAACTAGGAAAAACTGCGTACTTTATTCTATTATTATTATTACTATTATTATTTTTTTTTTGCCAAACGTTAGTAACGTAATGTAATTTTAAAATAGGAAAAAAGTTTTATTAAAGACGTTTGCAGTTGCAAAACATAATTCGATACGAGCACCCGTAGGATAAAACAAAATGGTATAATTTAACTATCGTGACGGAGAGAATAATAAATTCTCTCCTGTTGCTTAAGCCGGTCGATTTCTGTAGTAAACGTTACCCTTTTTCGGATAAGATATAGTAATATTAATACAGAAATTAAAAGTGTTTTAAAATAACTTTTGCAAACTAATTATTAGGCTTTCTGTTTGTATTCTTTTGTGCGGATATTGCAGCAGTAAGACATTTTCGAATAAAACCAAGAAACCCACTCGCGTTTTCTGAAACTCTTAAACATATTTTTCTCCGGCTGATTAATTATTTTTAAGTATTAAAAAATCCTTTTTAAACTTTTCACGGCAGGTATAATATGAGTATCTATATAATACAGTGTAACTAATTGAAATATAGTGAAGTATAAAAAAATAAATACGTTTCTCGCTGTGCTCCGAATCTAAACAAAAACGTACAATTATAAATATGGTTTTGGATTCTGAGTGAAGCGGGAAGTTTATTGATTTGACTATGACGTATGTGATTTTTTTTTATTATTATTTTTTAGATCCTAAGTGGAGCGAGGAATGTATTGGTTTTACAATGATGTTAATTTTTTTATTTTCTATGTGAACGCTTTTTCTACCAGAAAGCTCACTCTGATTATCAAGTATATCGCCCTTTCTGAAAGGAAATATACTCTGGGTTCGTTCAAAAGAATTAATTTTTTGAAATTCTCATTAATAATCGAGATAATGAGGAAAAATGGTTATTTAGGTAAAAAAGATTGAAAGATTAAAATAAGATTGTCATTGGCAACCATTTTTATTTCTTTTTCGTTATTATTAAGTTTTTATTATTTTAATCTTTATTAGACAATCATTGTTGTAATCATTTTACCATAATATGACATACACGTGTGTTGTTGACAAAGCAACACTATCAATTGAAGTCCGCTCGAAATCGTTTTATTTAATAGTAATAGTTTATCGTTACTTATAGATGTACATTGAAATCCTTTCTGTATCCTACCTTTCCAACTTCCCACCTACAACAATGGCTGCACCTATGTGCGATGCATGCCCGTCTTTTTTTTTTATTTGTGTCTGTAAACAACTATTCTTCCATAAATCTCGCTCCAATCAAAATATGACAAGAGAGTTTCCGTGGGAGGTCAAAAAACATAAAAAAAAAAAAAAAAAAAAACGGGAAAGCTTACGGAAATAACACGGTTTCATTATTTTTTACCTTTTTTTTTTATGCCGTGATTCAGTTAAAAACAACTGCAGGGACTTCCAGTTTTCGCAGAATGCTTACATCAGCTATTTTTGGATACGTGATAAATTTTTAAAACATTTGAGTCATATGACATTTTCGATTTTTTTTTTTTTATTTGGTTTCATGTGAGTGTAATTATTTTGTCGATTATAAATGCTTGGACATTTTACATCATAGGTTGATCACAAGTTGTACGTAATGTTCAAAAAAAAAGTTTTACGCAACGTAGTAGTTTTTTTTTATACGATTTTTGTTAAAATCTGACAAAAATCATAACGTAATTGGTTGTTGACATTTCAAAATATGTTTAATCGAATTATGTTCTGAATCGTTTTTTGTCATCGATAAGTTATCGATGGGTACAGATTTAAATAAATAAACTTTATGTATCCTATACCTTCTTAGCTCTTGAATTGTACAGCCTTAAGCAATAGTAGATGTATACTTACAATTTATCGTATTTCCTGGTGAAACGCTCTGAACATTGCGAAAAAGTGAAAAATGTAAGTTTAAATTTAAAATTTGTATAGTTACATTAGAAATATTTTTCATGTGCGATTTTTTCACAATTGAC